CTTTTAGTTGTTATGTGGAGCTCAACTGAATTAGCAAAGTGGTGTAGGGTATCATAAAATCGACCCCGCCCGACTTTAGGACTTTCTTTACTGGTTTTTATTAACAAATATTTAAAATTCATGGATTCAAAAAGAGAGATCGTCCTATTTACGTGGAAACTTAAAGGTCTTTCCTTTATATCACCGATGGGGTCACGCTAAACCTATCCTTTGAAGCTAAATACCTCGGCACTATACTCAACCGCCAACTAAGCTGGAAGAGGAACACCGAGAAGCGAGCAAAGAGGGGTTTGATTGCATTTTATGTTTGCAAGGACTCCATGGGTAGAAGCTGGAACTTTAAACCACACATCATTAAATGGGCGTATGAGTAAATTGTTCGCCCACGTTTCTGCGGCATAGCTGTCTATACCAACGGTTCAAAGAATGGAATGCGGAACGGGAGCTGGTGTCTGCTGTAACACTCTTAATGTTCGCGAATCCTACAAGTTTAGAAACGACAGCAGCGTATTTCAGGCGGAAAGTTTTGCGGTCAAAAAAGCCATAGACCTGTTGGTAACGAGGAACAACAAGGTTAGCAGTCCGGAGACTATATACGTCGATAGTCAAGCGGCACTGAAAGCCCTAAACTCCTTTACTGTCAAGTCTAAGGTTTATTTTGGACTGCAGGAGATCCTTGGAAAATGCTAGGTTGTCCATCATGAACTGTTGGGTTCCTTGTCATTACAATATTCCAGGCAACGAGACTGCAGACGGCTAGACTAGGATCCGAAATCAACTACCATTGAAATTGAGAACTCGGTCAAACCACCACTGTGCCACTTCCCACAGGTAATACATAAACACTACTCGGAATATGGTCCATACTCTCGGAGAAGAGAACAAAGTCGCTACTGTCATTGTCTAAACCTGACTTAAAACATGTGGTGGGTATCATCACAGGTCACTGCAAGGTGAGGGCAATGACCACGAAATGGGACAGCGATGTCATTGATTACTATAGAAAATGTCAGGACAAAGAAGAAATTGAGACGATCGAAAATCTGGTCTGCCACTGTCCAACACTCATTAACGTGAGATACAGGATAGTGGGGGAGCAAGTTACATGATTTGTCTCCGTTCTCTAACACTGACCCTACAGTAATTTTTCAATTAGCCAGATGATTTATGTGGCTAAATACTACACGGCAAGATCTCTAGCCGTCGATCATCCTCATAACTATATACTAAACCGCTGACACCTTACTTTTTTCCACCATTCTTTCTTTCTTCCAATTTCTTATTAGGATGAACACAATGCACTAGCAGGATTCATGGTACATATTGCATCCACAGTCTTTTTTCAGAAACTCACAATGAACTATGAATTGGAACTCTTCCATAAATGTACGGACTCCGAGGAAACTTACTTCGAGATGTAAACATTCAAAACGTCTTCTTATTTAGCTCTTATTTTATTATCTGCCCGATATTCCTTGCATTTATTGAAAACAATGAATTTAGTCGCACAAATAATACCAAATACTTATTTTAATATTAGAAATCAGAACGCAACCACAGTACGTTTGTACTTCTACTCTTTTACGATAATATAAGTTTATATGTATTTTTTTTCTTTGTGTGCTGTGAATTCTGTCGATAGATTTTCATACGTCCATTTCCGGAATTGGGAAAAAATCACTGCTCTATATTGCTGATATTGTGTTGTTGGTCTTGGTGCTTTTGATATGATACCAAATTTTTTGTGTGTGTCTTCTGTTGATGTAAGTGGTGTTCTCATAGAAGTTGTTGTTGTACTTGCCATTGGCGGTAGCCCAAAACTGATGGCTCGCTCAATGAAGTTAAGAGAATTGTTTGTCAGTTTGATTTTGCAAGCCAGACTAGGCAGCCAAGTTCAGTTCAGTTGAGTTCACTCTTGCTGAGCTTGGCTCCTCTGACCATTTACAATTCTGTCCAGTGTTCTGGTTTTGCTTGTTAACAACATGGCAATTCCAATCAATGAAGTTATCTGATATGGGAAATTCATTTTTTTCAAGCAGCTCCAGTTCACACACAGACATCTATCCGTTTTACTTTAAACTTTAACTTGTTTTGTGGTTATGTTATGCATTGTGGTGTAATAAAGTGGTTCGATATTATAACACAGCGAGCGGATGTTGGTATCCTAGGTTCAAGAATGGAGATTTATCAATGAAACAGTGATTTTGAAATCGAAATAGAAAAATAGTGCCAAAAATGTTAATCAGATATTTTTTAAACTATTTTTTAACAAAATTTGTATAATTATCAAACCATGGTTATACATAGAATAGAAACACCGAGAAAGGAATAGAATATTAAAAGGAAAACTTGTCAGGTTTAATATTTATTTGGATCTAACTTTGGTAGAATATCATAATATTTATCCTTGTATCTTCGCTAAATGCTAGTTTGGATAATCGGCCCACCCTAATACACACACATACACACGCAAACAATGTGTTTACTCTTTTACGTACAAAATATTGTATAAAATGCTCGTTAGTTGTGGGAAAAAATTCATTAGCAAAAATGTAAGTAGTTGGTCAAAAAATCCAACAATGCCAAAGCAGAAAGTTTGAAACTTTCATGAGTAACGTTGCCATATAATTGACTAAAGAAGGGAGTTTGGAGCATAAAGGGGTCTCTGAGAGATTATAGAGAGATTATACATCCAAAGAAACTGAAATACCATATTATATTTCGTCGAATTTGTGGTCTCAGGAATATTGAAAAACAGGAGATATCGTTCTATGGATCGGCCTCTTTCAATACCGTGATTTCAACATGCGCACACTCAAAACAGACATAGAATTATAAGCCGACCAACTACATAGCGAACCAAACTGTCTGAGTTCTGTGCGACTCCGAACCGTCTGACTTCTTACCGAAAGTTATACGGAGTGGTTGACGTGTTGTCGGACTGAAGAGTCGGATTAAATTCTGAAGTTTTAGTCGGCATTCGAACCGAAGTTGGACGAAATTCGCATGAATATCCTTGGAAATTTCGGAAGGGAAATTAGAAATTAGATTTCGGATCGAACTCGAAAGTAATATTGTGCGCATATTTGATTTTTTTGCTGACTTTCTAACATTTCTGCCACCGTCACCTTTAAACACTAATCGGCGAAGGCATTTTTCTCCGACGTCCCAACAACAATGACACATTTATTTCTTTCAAAATGTGTTAGCACATAAAACCTCTTAAAAAGACAGACACTCAAACCATTTTTTTATACCCTCCACCATAATATGGAGGGAATATTGAATTTGTCATTCCGTTTGTGACACCTCGAAATATACATTTTAGACCCCACAAACTGTATATATTCTTGATCAGCATAAAATTCTATGTCAATTTAGCGATGTCCATCCGTCTGTGAAAATCACTCTAGCTTCCGAACGAAATGAAGTAGATTGATAAAATTTTACTCAAAGGTATACTATGTCTGCTGGATTTTTGGTATTGAAAATGGGTCATGAAGGTTCACGTTTTGCTATAGCCTCCATATAATCGTACCTCCCCTTTTTCGGTATTTTGGTGATTTAAGCGACATTACTCAACGGATATGTTTCAAATTTGATATTTGAAGTTCGTAATAGATACTACAGCCTATGACAGAAAATTGTCTGTGCAGGTCCACGTCTTCATATAGCCCTTCATATATATCACGGTAAATCCGGATATTCGGTATTTTTATGATTTTAACGACATTATTCACCGGAAACGGTTCAAGTTTGCTATTTGAAGTTCGTAATGGATACTACAGCCTATGACGGTAAATTGTTTGTCCAGGTCCACGTTTTGGTATAGCCCACATATAATGGTGATGATTTTAGCTACATTATTTACCGATTTTTTCAACTTTCCCATTTGAATGTTGTGATGGCTTATGATAAAAATTGCCTACATATTTATTATTTATTTAACGGATTTTATTGTTTTCATTTCATTTTCAAATTCGTTCCAAATGGTGAAGGGTACTCAAAGTTCGGCCCGGGCTTTTTTGCTTGTTTTCTTATTGAGTTTTTCTAGAGCTCTACAATAAGAAAAAAATTTCTTCGAAATTTGTGGCGGAATTCGGGCATGTGTCGGTCATACAAGTAGGAAAACGTTCCTACTTCGGACTTTTGTTTCGCAGGGTTATACCTAGATTTCATTGTAGAAAGTATATAAGTATTTTCCATCAAGCTATGCTCTTGCATTATTTGTTCCTTGGGACTTTTCCCTAACGTTTCAGAGCGAAGAAAGAAGTCCTGCAAATAAAACAAATCTTCTACTTATAGACTCTTAAAAGAAGCAGCTGCTCAGTAAAAGTTTTGGTTGAATCGAAATTCTATTTTTAAAATTTTTAAAATGCAACTTATAATGTAAGTCCTTAAGTAGAAACTTCAGTGTTGGGTTTTAATCCTTGTTGGGAAATAAAGATTTTCTTTTTAAATATCAATAATCTGGCAACATCATTTACAACATTCATATGGTACTTATAATCTCAACTTAATGTGTATATGTACAGCTTGTTAGTGTTATAACCCTCTCTGGGTTATTTGTTGCAACATGGATCCTGTCTTTTTCCACCAAACTCTCAAGTGGGTGTTATTCACAAGTGCTCCCATCAATGGTGTCGATCCCCAAACTACTTCAGCCCCAATGTAACATTAACATGTGAAAACTATATTTTTTCGATTTGTATCCTGTTGTACATCTAATTGAAACAAACTAAATCTGCATTTTAATGGCCAAGAGCTAAATAGGAATTACAATTTCAATTTATTACCGAATGCAAAAGTTCAGTTCAGTCCAATGGAGCAGAAGAAAACACATTTCTCCACATGGAGGTGTGCAGTCACTGATGAAAATTGATTGTCTTTGGAATTACTTTAATTAAGAGAATTGATGTTGATGTTATTTGCTGCTATTGCCATGTGTTGGCCATTTTTATCGGTTGTTAGTTAGAAATTGCGCTGACTGTAACACTTACCTCGTTATCGTGCGGCGGAAGCTGATGCAACAATTGCCGCACTCGATATTGCTCTCCGGGACTGTTGACATATGGCACTTTATCATCGGATATTTGTGAGAAATACAAACGCACCTGGAAACAAAAAAGAAGGAGTAGAGAATTATGTTCTAAGTGTGAACATTTAAGGTTTTTTTTTGAGAAGACAAATATTCGGAATAATTTTTTCTTTAATACAAGGGTAAATGTTGTTTGTTTTTATTTTAGAATATGTACATAGCAAAAAACAAAATAGAAATGGTGCTTGTAATAATGTAAGCTTTAACTTATTCTGTGTGACGAAACTTATGATGTAGAAAATATATTTCGTATTATTCAAATTTGCTTCAAGTTGGCTCAGATATAGTTATATCACCTATACGCATATATTGGTTCATGTACCAAACATATAATTACGCAAAATATTCAATTTGCAAAATTCGTACTTTATACCCTTAAATATTTTAAATTATGTCTTTGAGTTTTAGCAATCATTAAATATATTATCATTGAAGCACAGAGTTCTTAAAACGAAAAAAAACTGTGTTTTTTTGGACTACAATTCTGCACTTTAGGGAATCTTCAAAATTCGCATACTAGTCTCTATTAACAATACACATCACATAAGGTTTTCTTTCTGAAATTCGTTTTAATGAAGGTACTACAAAGTACTACAAACTGTGTTTACGACGTAAATTGTTTACTATTAGACCTCGTAGGCTATCATAGATGCTAGACATACAATAAGGTGTCGGGCAATTAGTACAAAAAAGTGCTGCGAAATACTAATAATTGTATTACTGGGGCTAGAATTCTTAAATTTTATAATTAGCTTTGTCAGACACAAGAAAGGGAGCTAGATTTCTGAGATTTATTATATACTAGGCTGCTTCTGGTGTGAGGGGAGGCTGAGCTGCAGTATTTAAGGATATTTTTACTAAAAAGTAATATATAATACTCAAATGTACAAAAACAAAAAAAAAATATATATATATATACTTTTAACGTCACAATCTTAACATTTCACACTATTGGTACCAAACAAAAGTAGGTTGGAGACGTTAGAATTTTTAGCTCGAACAGTACAACATTTAGTCCGTTTTTGGTACTGAGTGTTGTACAATTTTTAAATTTGTAATCGATATGTTCAACCTTGGCAACATGTTTTCTGAAATTAGATTTACTTAATGCAAAATAGTTAATTATTAAATATGGGATTAATGTGCGATAAGAAGGTATTTTTGGAAATTTGAACTATGGTGGACTAAAAAGACAAAAAGCTTTATATAGTGCCGTACTTTTATAAAGCGACCGGAATGAGTTAGCGCTTTCACCTATTTTTAAAATTATCTCCCCGCTAGTCCTACCCTCGATTTAAGAAGGTACTTTTGGAAATTCTCTACTTGAATGTATGAAAAGTACCTAAAGGTGAAATTTTGTAATTATACGTGTTTGTATACCAAAAGTTTGGTTCAAAGGGAGAGAGAGAGAATTTCGTCGGAATATTAAGATCTTTGTACTTAAGAATATGCAATTTTTAATTTGTTCAGGCTACGAAATAATCCGGGACTTTTTATATTTTTGTACTTTAATGGGAAAGGAAAATAACGCCCATTTACGAAATGGTACAAAATAGTTAATGTGCGAACCAAATGGGACTTAAGCTATACAAGTTTGTTTGATGATCACTCTAGGATGAGATTCAACAATTCGTACTTAAACTTAGCGAGTAGTATAAAAGGTGGAAATAGACCAGCATTATTATAGAGTAATTAGTCATACTTTGCGGGCCAGGATAATGTTTTATTTCTCCATACACCTATAGCTATTGCCGGAAGCTAATGTTCGAAATAAGGCCCCAAACTACTTGTCGATTTGTCTGGTTCGTTACCTTATACGCCTTATGGCAACAGAGATATATCAATTGACACTGCCAAAACATACCTCACCCAAATAACGGCGTTAGACCTGAGATCTCCGTTCAAATAAATCCGTTTCAGGGCATTTAGTATCGATCTAAGGGTGTCTATCCGACCGTCTGGCTTACTGGTGCGCACCATAATTCGAGAAAGGAGTATCCGATTATCAAAGTTATATCTAGTTCGGGTGGGTAATTACGGGACAATCCTTTGATACCTCCCCCACAAAAGGAAAACAAAGCTCTTAGTACATGTTATACCCTTTAGATTGAGAACCAATCAATCTCTTCGAATCCTAATATTTTTATCACAACTTGGTCAGATGCAAAAATAGACAATATAGGTCCACTCCTTTAAGTTCCTGCCCCACGGAAATTGGATGAGGCTATACATCTTTTGGCAAAACCGATTGATAGCTTTCAAATTGTTTTTGATTGAAATACAGGTATTGGTTCAGTTCAAATTTTTTTAGACAATGGTTTAGTTCACTTGGCTTATTTACAGAAATAGCGGTTCGATTTGCAGCCCTGGTTTAAAATTGTAAATGGCTTCATATTCCTCCAGGGATATGAAATGAGTTCGGGTGTTCATATTTTAAGGGTACTCCCAAAACTATTATACATATAAAGGTGTGGAATTGTAATCTGCAATATGATAAATTGAGAATTTTAAAGTTTTTAAACTGTTTACTTCCGCTAATGAAGTAGCGCACATTTGCTAGTAGGGCAGTAAAATAATTGAACAGAATAGTCAATTTAAGATATAAACCTTCAAAATGAATAGTAGGGGCAATACGGCTATCTATTACTGCCCTTAAATTACATTGATTTTAAATAAATTTATTTAGGGTGAGATAAAAAAACGGCAACAAAACCATAATTTTTACATTTTTTTAAACTTTATTGAATGAAAGCAAAAAATGTCGGAAATACCATCAAATTTTAGAATAAGTTTACATTTGTTCGAATTTGCCAACCTTGGCAAGTATTATGCCTTCACACGCTGCCCGAATGTTGCTCTGCGGTATTTTGGTCCATTACCGGCGAAGTGCTTGCTTGAGGTGATCGACACTTTAGTATTTTTCAGTGCCAACCTTGCTTTTCAAAATACTTCAGACACAATAGTCAAACGGATTGGTATCCGAAGATTTTGGTGGAATTGAAGCGAGGAACCTCATTGTAACCATTCGTGGGTGGCGCGTGCCGATTGCAATGGTGCCGAGTCCTGTTGCAATGTCCAAGGTATAATACACCCTCCAGAATATTTTCGCGATAATATTCGGCATTTATTCTGATGCCACGGTCGATTAATTCGAGAGGAGAGCGACCATCGGCTGTTATGGCGACCTACACCATCACCATGGCCGACGCTTGAGTTCTGGTGGCCATCCGAAGGTGCACATTTTCAGCTGACCTCTTTGGCAAGTAAACACGATAATTTTGTTTGTTTAAAACTGCTGGACGACGAACGTTTTCTCATCGGAGAAAACCAAATTCGGCGGTTCACCAAATTCCTCCAAGCGAAATAACTCTTTAGCTCTTTTGAGTCCATTTTCTTTCCGTTGCGGTGTAAGTTCTTGCAGTTTTTGGAATTTCAATGGCTTTACCCCAGCTACGTTTTTCAATATTTGCCGAATGGAATATTGCCACTGCGACGTGAGTTTCGAAGAAGCGACTTCTTTAATTTTCGAACCATTTCTGCTGATGTTGCTGTTTTCTTCCGTCCACTTCGTTGACGTCGGGCTACGCTACCAGTATCACGGTAACGAGCGATGGTACGAGGCACAAAAGATTTATTCACATTTAAATGCTGGAGTGCTCTAACGATAGCCACTTGTGGTTTGTACGCTTGTAAACAATACAATCTGCTGTCACTGGAATATTTTAACAGCTGTCGGACGAGTGATTTAGAAATGACAGCCGTCTGAAGTTGGTTGCGGGTTTTTCATCTCACCCTGTACTTAAAAATATATATTGAATTATTATACTGGAATTATTTCATGATTTTATAACTACTCTGATTTGTTATTATGACTGAGATTTTTACTGCTAAGTTATAATATACATTATGCAAAAAAAATGTTTCCCAGACAGTCCTTCTGATACAACTATTACCGTACGTCAGTCTTAACCGACTATAACTGCCATCAATTTTATTTGACTTGCAATAACATTGAAAATATCCCATCACTTCAGTCATTTAAATATCTACACACACATCCATGCATACATATCTCACATTCCGTCCGCATTCAATTATTCCCCGTTTACATTGAATAAAACAATTTTAAATCGCACCTTGATTGTTTTGCATTCTTTGACGTCCAATTTGACAAACTCTTTTATCCCGCATACTAAATGGATGAACGGCCAACATCAACTGAAAACTATACTGGACATTTTAAACGTGATGGACAGTGTTAGGTTTGGGGTAGCAAAAAGAAAAAAACCCTACATGAAATGTATTTAAATCATGATATACGACAGAAACATGTGGACATTTCGAAAAAAAAAAACCAAAAAGAAAATCATGAAAAATAAAAGAGTTATCTTGGCAATGATTATTTGTTCTCAACCCAATTACATTGCAATATTCGGAATATATTAAACAATTTACTCAAATTGGAAAAATACCTTACATTTTTTGGGCGCCTTTTGACGTAGTCATAGATTCATTTTTGTTTAAATATTTAATTTGATTGTGCAGTTTCGTTTTTGGTTCTGCTAAATGATTCATACAAATTTGATTAAATACTGGTCGGTTTGTCCTTTGTATGTCACAATCAACAGAGTTGTGAATGGACGAACGAACGAACGAATCCTTTGATTGTTCAAATGAAAATATTGGAGAGGAGGGCCTAAAACCATATTTTATGAGGGTATATCAAACGAATTTGACTGACATGATGTTGGTAATAAAAGGAAATGCACAAAAAGATCAAAAATACAAACCCAGCTACCCAGCTGATGGCGGCAGTGCCAGACAAAATAAAAATAAACAAAAATCGTCGACGGTCAGAAAAGAGAGTTAAAACAACATCATCGTCGTCGAAAAAAATGAACAAGATTGCAGAAGATTTATTTTACAGCATTGGACAATTCACGGCAATAATTTATGCCACAATCATTTTCTTGTGTTTTTTATTTGGGGAGATTGAATGAAACTCGCCGGATGGCT